TTGGACTGTTAGTTCTGAACAAACAATGAAAAATACATAAACCGATTATGGAATATCTTTGATAACACCCGCCATCAGGTGTGCCGCGTGAATAGCACATCTTGTCAATGCAAACAGACCGTTATAGCTCCGTTATAATTAATGTTAAACCTGAGATTCGACTAGAGAACAAATAAATAATAGAATAATGGTCATGAGATCTCGGCATTGCACAAACAAACAAATCTCATCTTTAAAATCAACATTTGCCTTCACTGGTGAGAGAAAACAAATCCCATCACAGTTCATTTGTGGGACGTTTCATCCACCGATTGATAAAAGACCTAAGGGCACTAAAGGTACCATTTATTGGAGCTAAACGAGCACAAATAGACACTTTTTAATTCCCGACTCGAAGTGGCTTTAAGAATTGCAAGTATTTGAATAACACTCACAATAAAAAGCCCTCATATTTGGCTAGCTCATTTTCATTTTTTTAAGAAACAAATAAGATAAGAAACCTCAATTTCCACGCCCTTAACTGACATCTCCCCGGTGAGATTTTAACTTCTCGTACTCGGTTGCATGTCATCACACCTCTTTTAACTCTCATCTTTCTTGACACACACATCTGAGGAAGCGATAAAATCATTTCCACACTGATCTAGCGGATAGAGAGGGAGAATATCTGTTCACTGCAGCGGCTTGTCGTTGTAAATGAATGATGAACAAGAAGCGTCTGCTCCACCCACTCAGACAGAAGCTTGACCCTCTGATTAGCTTCATGCACAAACCTCCGTAAAACACACCTCAGAAAACACACCACCCACTTTTATCTATTCAACACACACCCTATCCTAATGCATTATTTATACCCCGGCTGTAAAGGTCAGTGGCGATGACGTTAACGTCTCTGAATGGGGATATCAAAAAGGTGATTATATGGAAGGGAAGCCTGCGTGCGAGCCGTGAATGTTAATCCTGATATTGGCTTCCTGGGATACTGAAAGCCACGCAGGCATCCTCCGAGTACCTCCCCCTGCAGTGGCATTCATTTTGTTTATTGCAAAAAGGCAAACAGTTTGGAATAAAATCTCCTCCTTGACCCGTGTTTGCATCATCGCGGCCTCTCGGCTCTTTGTGGTTTCCTGCTGTTGTGAGTTGCCGAGCCAAAGGTGATGCAGTTTGCTGAGAGTCATGGCCGACCACAGAGTAATGGACAGTCTGCAGCCGTCACTCAGGTGGAACCACAGACTGCAGAACAACTCTTCAGAGTCTGATGTAATGTCAACACTAGAACATGCTTACCATAATCTTCTGTGTCAGCAGCATGCAACATTTGCTAATACCTGAAAATGATTTGTTTAGTAAGGCAAGTTTATTTCTATAGCACCTTTCAACACAAGGCAATTCAAGGTGCTTTACAAAAATGAAAGACATTCAGACAAAGGCATTTAAAAACAGTCATTAAAAAGAAAAGAAAAGAAAAATTAAAAGACTGTCAAAGATTTCCCCGAAACTAAGAAAACACCCACAGTCGTACCTAGTACCCACTATAAAATAGTTGTACCTTGTATCATACTATAAAGCTCGCAATAGTAAAACTAAGAAAATGTATCCTATAGTCCAGTGGTTCAATCTGGGGGGCGCCAAAGATCCCAGGGGGGGCGCCAGGCCTCAGATGATTTGAGGCCAAATATCATATTTAGACTTTCTTTTTTTTTTTTTTTTACATATAATTGTAAAGCTATCCATGATTGTCACTAAAAGCCTTGTCTCCACATTACAATCAAATATACAAAATAATTGATTAATTAATTTGAATTAAAATTCAAGTTAGTAGCTATCAAAGGCATAAAAAGGCAGAAATGTATAATTCTTTCTTTTATAGCCAGTTTTGAATCTCCCGGTTCCAAATAATCAAAAGGCTTTTTTGATTTCCTAGAAATATCCAAGCCTTCTCGTTCTCGGGGGGGTTACTGAAGGACAAACCTTCAACGCGGGGGGGGGGGGACGTTGGTCGCCATTAATTTCAACATTTTCCAGAGTTTTTACGATGTTGATGGCAGCTGTAAAATTACAACCTTACACTATCAACAAAATCCACACAACAATTTCAAATAAACACAACTGAAACTAACACAAACTGGAGTCTAATAAGTAAAACCTAAGGGCGACAATACTCAATTACAAATACACAGAACAAAACACCAAAAAGTGGTAATCCACAATTACAAACATGTGTACGACATAACAACGGCTACACATACAACACATAAAGGTAAAACAAAAATGTTTTACCTCCTTGGTAGACTAAGCACTAACAAATAACACAAGTTATAAAATGACAACACAACTGATCTGAAAATCTTTAACCGATAGGTCTTTTCCGGAACAACACATTAAATACCATACATCAATTTA